AAAATTTAATACAAATATTAACTCATGCCATATAAATAAAAAGATCACTAAAAAAATAGTCAAATATATTTTAGCACCACAAATAGTTTCAAAACAGTAGGATACGAGAAATTCATTCCACTATATTTGGTTAAATTTTGTCTTATATTTTTCTAAAAAAGAAAAAGAAAATATTAGTTTGGTAAAATAAAATATCAATTTCATATGGTTCTAACTTTTTTTGGGTGCAAATTCAAGCTGCGTAGGGTGCAAGTTCAAGCTGTGTGGGGGTAGGGATGGCAATTTGAACCGAGCCCGACGGGGGCCTAACCCCCTGACCCCGAATTGAACGGTTTTTTTCTGAAAAATATCCTCGACGGGTCGGGGATGGTATTCAAAAATAAATCCCCGATGATATTCGGGGCGGGGACGGTGATATGTGCCCCAGCCTCGGCCTGCCCCGGCCCCGCCCCAATCTATCCCCGAAAAAAGTCCCCGTGTATATATATATAATATATATGTTTAGGTTTTGATTTGTTTTATCTATCTCAATATAATATATATGTTTAGGTTTTGGTTCTGGGCTAAGAGAGAGACCTCTCACACACATACACAGTCTCTCTCTCTCTCTCTCTCATCAGATCTAATCCCAACACACCCATCTCAACCTTCGCCATTGTCCTCCGCTGTCCTCACCTCCGATCTCCCTCACCGCCATTGCCGATCTCCCTCCGCTGTCCTCACCGCTGATCTCTCTCACCGCCGTTGCGATTCCGTTGTCCTTCTCCTCCTCCGCAGTGCCTTTGCCATTGCCATTCTTTCTCTGGTTCTTTGGTTTATCTCTTCGTCGCCCCTGTGATTCAACTCTTCGTCGCCGCTGCCTTTGCCGATCTCTTCGCTGCCGCAGTGCCTTTTCCGATCTCTGGTTCATCTTTGGTTTTTTCTCTATCTCTAGTCAGATCTGTATTTTTTTTCATAGATCTGAGGATATGGCTGAAGGTGAATGTATGCATAGTGTTAGATCATCTCTGTTTCTTCTCTATTTTTCTCTATTTTTTTTTTGTTGTTTACTGTTTGTGTTGTAGATCATCTCCGATCTCTGAATGTATGCATAGTATCTCTGTTTGTGTTGTATATTTGTTTAAAAAAAAAAAAAGGTCGTGTATTTTTCGGGATCGGGGAAACCCGATCCCCGTTAGGGGCCAGGCGCAAGGGGGCTAATGGGTTCCCCGTCAGGGATCGGGGACGGGGAGTATTTTACATTTGGGGATCGGGGATGGGGAGTGTAATCCCCCGGCCCCGACCCGCCTCGTTGCCATTCCTATGTGCGGGTGCAAGTCCAATCTATGTGTAGGTGCAAGTCCAACATGTGCGGGGTGCAAGTTCGATCTGTTTGCGGGTAAGTTCGATCTCTGTTAGGTGCAATTTTAATTTGTGTAGGATGCAAGTCCAACCTATGCATGGGTGAAAGTTCATTCTTAAAATGATAAGTTTTTTTTTTCCGGTTTATTCACCAAACTAGTTTTTAATTTATTTTTGGGTAAATTACAAACAACCCCTCGAGGTTTGGTGAAAATACAGATTCCCCCCTGAGGTTTGAGAAATTACATCCCGCCCCCTGAGGTTTATATTTCCATAAGAAATTGTCTCTTGAGATTTTTATTTTCATACAGATTCTCCCCTAATTTGTTATGCAAATTTGACCCTCAGGGGGTAATTTGTAATTTCTCAAACCTCAGGGGAGCATCTGTATTTTCACCAAACCTCGAGGGTGGTGTTTGTAATTTGCCCTTTATTTTTTAAAAAAAAAATGAAAATTAATCCAAATTGTGCCTAAAAAATAAAAATAATTAAGTGAGATACTATAAATTATAAAAAAGAAAAAAATCACTAAAATTAAAATAATAATAATCACTACAATTTAGACTTGCACTCCACATAGATCAAACTTACACCCTTTACAGATCGGATTTGCACCTCTCACAGAATTCAACCAAATATGTAGGGTGCAAATCGACCTGTGAGGGGTGCAAGTTCGATCTATAAGGGCTACAAGTCCAATTTGAAGTGCTTTTTTTAAATTAAAAAAAAAATAGTATTTTTTTTCTTTTTTATAATTTCTAGTATCTCACTTAAGTATAAATTATTTTATTTTTTTAAGCACAATTTGGATTAGTTTTCAATTTTTTTAGGGTGCAAGTTCGATCTATGTGGGATGCAAATTCAATTTGTAGTTACCTTTTTTTTTAAAAAAAGTTAGTATTTTTTTCTTTTTTATAATTTCTAGTATCTCATTTAATTATAAATTATTTTATTTTTTTAGGCAGAACTTGGATTAAAAAAAAATTATACCTAATTTGACGAATAAACCGAAGAAAAGAACTCATCATTTTAATAATAAACTTGTACCCATCCACAAGTTAGACTTCCAACCCCACATATGTTGGACTTGCACTCTACACAAATTAAACTTGCACCTAACACAGAACGGACTTACACTGCATATAAATCGGACTTGGACCTTTTACATGTTAGATTTGCACCTTAGACTTGCATCTTGTATAGATCTAACTTGCACCTGACACAGCTTGAATCATATGAAATTGATATTATATAATATTAATTTCAATAAAAATTATTAAATTTAGTAAAATATTAGTAAAATATGTCTTGTGTTCTTCAATTTTTTTATCTTTTAATTACGCCTTAAGAGCATTTGTTAGCAAATTGATATTTTTTTTACCAAACTAATTTTTTTTTCTTTTTTTTTTTATAGAGAAATAGAAGACAGAATTCAACCAAATATGCTGAAATGAATTTATCATATCCTACTTTTTTTGAAACTATTTATAATGTTAAAATATGTATAACTATTTTTTTAGTGACCTTTTTATTTGTATAGTTTAAATTAATATTAAATTTTATTGTTTGATTTGAGTTAATAAAAATAAAAAATAATATTTGTATGGTTTAATTATTATTTTTGTTCGGTTTGACTTATTGTTTGTATGGTCGAATATTATTGTTTTATTCGTGTGGTTTGAATTAATATTTGAGTTAAATTTTATTGTCTGATTTGAATTGATAAAAAAATAATATTTGTATGGTTTAATTATTATTTTTATTGTTTGATTTGACTTACTATTTGTATGGTTCTAATTAATATTGTATAGTTTGAATATTATTATTTTTTATTTTTACAGTTTCAATTAATATTTATATAATTTAAATATTATTATCTTTTATTTTTATTACCACTTATTGGTAATTTTAAATAATTTTTTTGTTTATATTAACTGCAGTCATATATTTCATTTTAATTGTTTAATTTCTTTATATCTATTTTAAGCTTATTTTTAAATTTTGAATTTTAAATATTTAATATTAGTCTATTGTCGATATATTTTTAATGCTATTCACCTTGCTTGGTTTCCAGTTTTTCAAAATACTTTTCAGAAAATTCTACTTTCTTATTTTTCGTGTTTTTTTGTTTTTACTGAATTTTTTAATATTTTTAACAATTTTTTTACTTTTTAGACACATCTAACATAAATACACCTAAAAAGTAAAAAAATTATAAAAAAATCTTTTAAAAATTCACTATATACCAAAAAATACAAAAAAAAATATAAGAATTCAGTACATTTTTTGTATTTTTATGTATTTATTAATTTTTTAAAATATTTTTTCACAATTTTTTTACTTTTCAGATACATCTAAGTAAGGTGCATCTAAAAAAGTAAAAAAAAATGTTTAAAATTTAAAAAATATTCACTCAAAACAAAAAAACACAAAAAATCAAAAAAGTTAATTTTTAAAAAATTTAATCCAGAAAATTCAAACCAAATACAGTGATTATTTTTATAAAAATTAAAATTTCATATTAAAAGTTATATATAGTTTATTAAAATAAATAATAATTTAAAAGTAATGATAAAAGAAAGAAAGACAAAAATTCAGAGGACAGAGGCAAGAGAGACATGAGAAAAAGAAAGAGAGAGAGCGCACCGAAGAGAGAGAAAGAGAGTAGGGGAAATGATAGGATAGGCGCGTGAGTGGGGATAAATTCCCCATTAGTTGATAAGCAGTACTCGTTTGGTTATCATAAAATCACAAAATGACAAAAAAAAATAAAAAATTATAAAATTACAAAAAAATAAAAAATCACAAAAGGATAAAAAAAAATTTGCCATTCCAAAGCCATAAAGTTAAAAAATTCAAATAAGAAAACTAAATAACCAAAAAAATCTCAAGTTAAAATAGTAAAAAAAAATTAACTAAAAATTTATTGCCAAACGACCCATTAATTTGACTAATCTTACATAGATTGTAAGATATTTAATCATTTATTTAATAATAAATTTGAAACTTGTGACATTTTTCAATTAATTTTGAGTTTCCCACTCATTTTGAACTTCTAGACCAGGGGCGTAATTGTCCCTACAATATTTCAATTATGATTTTGACTCCACGAAGGAAGAACGTGCAAAGGTACGTGGATCTTAATATTAAGGGTACGAGTATATTAATATGGGGGATGCACCAATAAATCCCAAATTAATAATTTATGCACTGTTTAGTCCTAAAAGTTTTTTTATAGACTGAAAGGTCCCATTACAATGTTAATAACATCAGATACAATGTTAATAACATGGATTTCAAACATATAATGTTCATCAAATTTCAATAATATTTGAAAATATAGGATGAAAAACATCTAATGTTCATCAGATTTCAATAAATTTTGAAATTATAGAATGAAACATCAGATCATTTACATCATTCACATCATGTTGATGTAAAAATAGGACTAAATGGAACATAAGAAAACTTTTAGCACTAAATGGTTCAACGTTTCAAAAACTAGGACTTATGGGTAAATTTTCCTAAAAACAGTATGACTGTAGCTGATTGACAAAATTTAAAATTTATTTTGAGTCCCACCAGCAGTAGTGATAGTGAGGGGTACTTACTGTCTGGTCGGACAGAAGGCCGTTATGTGGGACCTACAACCAGTAGTAATGAGAGTGAGGTGAACTCACTGCCAAGTAGGGGCCGGCCTCATCGCGTAGGTCCTACGAGTAGTAGTGAAAGTGAGGATTGTCCACCGTCAGATCGGGTAAGGGGTCATCATCACATGGCTTTGTCATTATGATGTACCAGTAGGGATTCTACCAAGGGTTCCAGATTAGGCGATCGAGTGAAGCCAAAGAAACCGATAGGCGGGTTAAGAAGATTGAAAGACAAACTAGCCCTTATCTTCCACCATCACCACCACCACCATCACCACCATCACAATGATCACAGATATCAAAAGGCCAAGGTGGGTCATGGTGGCACATCCTTGTGGAAAAACGCGGGAAAGAAGATCTTTGACAGTGCAAACAAAGGCGAAGCTTATGGAGAAAAAGCAGCTGAAAAACTAACAAAATCAGTTGTTTGCAAAGTACCGGATAAGAAACAGCATGGACATTTCTTCCACACACTAGTAAAGGGGCTACTGAATTCCAAAAAATCAAAGGTGCCGAAAGGCAGCATCAAACGTTTGGGGAGTGGTAGGCATGGCAGTAAGAAAGCGGTGAAGAAGTTGCAGTGGTGGCATATGTTTCGTCACCAGAGGGCGGTGAAAATGCCGAGCAAGACCAAGGCACGTGTCAAGCTAGGAGTTGGTAGTAAGAAAAGGCCTGGGCTACAGGCATTGCCTAAGATGAGATGAGTTGTTCTAGACCCTGTAATTGTTTCTTCCATAACGGTTTTTATGCATATATCTGTCATTCAGATTTCAAGGTTATTTTTGAGGTGTTACATATATAGAATTTATGTAAAATCGAGGTCATAGTCTCGTGGTTGTGATTGTTGCTAGATTTGCGGAGTTTTTCTTAGGCAAAACACAGTTTCATGTACATAAATATGAAAATGGAAAGTGGTATAGAGTGTGGGCTAAATATGTAAAGGGTCTACATGGGTCCCTGCGCAGGTGAACAAATGGGTCTTGTCCAACCAAATGGGCCAAGTAAACAAGCCTCCATGGGTCCATGTGCCCGAACCGTGTCTGGAAAAGCTCACCGAGAAGAATAACATGTTTGCTAATTTGGCAGGTTAACCCATTTAATATACAACCTGGCCGACTTTATCCAACCCAAACCTGTATGAAATGGACCATTTGCCACCCTAGTTCTAATTGATTCAAATAAATTACCCTACAAAGACAATCCTTTGTCTTGCCATTTTTAGATCTTGGAGATAAATTAATCAACATTATGTCCAAGGCGTTTAAAATTTGCTCATACATATAGACCCAGTCAGTTATGTATGCAATTAACTTCATAAGATTCAAATGTAAATGTAATGAGAGAGTGAGAGAGAGAGAAGGGGGGGGGGGGGGGGGGGGGG